TTTCTCCATGCACTTTCTTTTTGACTTTATTTTGCTCTCTTTTCGATACATAGTGAAGGACCTCATAAACTATGCACTCTCAAAGTTACAGCTACAACAGAGCCCAATAAGACGGTTAAAATCGCCCTTTCTTGTCAAATTGTTTTCACTCAGTTTTTGACCTCCCCCCCAGAAACGCATAGCAAAAATGAAACCCATTTTTGTAATCCTTGTATGGACCCCTACAACAAGCAACAAACCATTTTTAAAAAGCGCGCCACGACCTGAAAGACCTCCCTTGTTAGCTGGAAAAGTCTCTGCTTATTCCTCTGCCTTTTTTCTACTTACGAGTATTTGTTCCCTTTCACATCTTTACTGCCTTTCATTTAGAGCCCAGCCTAGCTCCTTCAGTTTCTCTTACATATGTGTTCTTCTTTCTATGAACGTTCTTCCCTTCTTTCATTTTCACCACTGCATTCTTCAACCTCCCCCTACAGCTAACTAAAGTTTACGCCTTGCCATGGAATTCAACAACAGTTGAATGAATGTCTACCCTAAATTGAGCAAATATTTGGAGAATCTCCGCTCAGAAAACCAGTTACCAGCAGCGGAACCTTTGTACCATCACAATAGCACGCATACACGTAAACAACTATTTCAGCACTATCAGGTGGTGTATGGTCTCATTAAGACTAGTTTCCATCACTCGAATTCATAGCTTTCCTAGCTCGAATCCTCAACGTTGACTAATGCTGAATTTACAATACTTTCCAAATCTGGGGCAACGCACCTTCTACCGGATTTTTCGTTAGGTTTTTTTATCACCTTTTTCAATGCTCAAAATGGGGCTTAGAAAGATTACAAAAATTACAGTAGCGACGTCACGTAACTGCTCTGTGATGGCATAGACATATCCGCCGCGAGTAGTATCCGAAGGAAGAAGGAGATGGGAATCGATGAAGGTAATCAGTATTCTCTACAATGGTGCTACGGAATCCTCAAGAGCAAGGTGGGTGCAGTTCGCGACAGGGGGGGGCATTCTTGCACTTTCGTTGCTTCACTAGTTCCGGCTTACAAGAGAACTCTTGTGAAGCTAGAGCAAGCTCTTCAGGCCATCAAGGTAAAACCTGTCAACTCGAGAAAGTCTGTCTAGATGGGTCGACACGTCGACGAGAAGTAGCAAAAGTGCAAAATGCCCCTCCTCTCCCCCCCTTTTGACGAACTGCCCCGCAAGGTGTATCGAGCGGTGGTTAGGCCTGCTATGCTCTTCGGCAGGGAGTGCTGGCCAATATGCAGGAATCATGAAAGGCAGCGGCACTCAGTCGGAATGAGCATGCTGAGGTGGACCTACGGCCGGATACGTCTCGACAGACTTTGGAAACGAGGATGTCAACACAAGATGGTTCGGATCCAGCTGAAGGCGCGGGAGCATCGGCTGCGATGGTATGGGCACGTGCTCAGAAAGACTGAGCCACTCGATAAGGGAACCCAGTGACTTTCGATTTGCAGGGCAAACGACCACGAGGAGCCCCAGAAAAGGTGGGGGGGGGGGAGAGCCGTCATGGAGTAGGACCTCACGGAAACGAATGCCACGGCAGAACATGCACTGGATCGGAACAAGTGGCCGCGTCTAACAAGATCAGCAGATTTTGGAACGGTGCAGGAATAAAATTAGGATAAGAAGAAGAAGGTGGCGGGGATTAGCGCAACTCTTATGGTTTCTTGGAGTTTAACGCAGGAGAGATGGCCGTAGGCTGTCAGATAGAAGGAACAGATAGAACCAGATTATCTGAGAAGTAGGCTGAAATACTTACCCTATGGCTCATGAGCCAGTCGATAGTGATGTTCTCCTTGCCGTGCTGAGCGAACTCCGGCCAGAATTTGCTCATCTTGTCCTCGTACGAAATGTGCCCTCGATCGACAAGCATTGCTACGCAAAGCGCTCCAACGGCCTAAATAATTTTTTATTTAGTAGTTTCAAAGATGTTTCACGTGCTTTTTACTCTCTGCACTACCTAACAATACCCGAAGAAACATTAAATGAATTTTTTATAGTTGCATTAATTCTGCTTTAATCTCTTTTTCTGAGTTATGAGCAAATTTCAGAGCAGAAATTCTTTTCATTCACAGGGAAAACACACCTTTGTAGCGCTGAACACTACAGTTCTCGTTTCTGGTGTCCATTTCCGTTCCTGATGATTTGTCTGCATAGCCGCCCTTGAAATGATTTAATTAGCAAAAACAATAAAATTTGTCTGAGTTTTCACGATGGTTCTCAGGAGGCACGGCAATGAGAGTGTACAGCTAACCTGCAGGTCGACTATTAGCTCTCCTTTGTGATAGACGGCAATCGCGGCTCCTTCCCTCTCCCAGCCATCGTGGAAATTTTTTCTGAAAGTATTTACTATAGGTTATGGTTTGCCAAAACCTTCTCGCTATGGCAGATCAGAACTGGTTTTTGTGGTTACCACGAAGCGCTCGGTGGCGCTTACCAACCGGATCTGTCCCTCTGACTCACAAATCAGTGACGCTGAAAATTATTCCGAGTGCACTACGCGCTAGTATTCTCAACGAGATCTCTAATCTGGTTAGGTTCAGGTTTCACTTATGCCGCTGCCAAGGCAGTCAGCCTTGACAGCGGCACGTTCCTGTCAGCGATAAACCGGGTTCAGCTGTGAAGGTGAAACATGCACCGACACTTTCACTCATTGAACGTTTCTGGAGACATAAAAAGAAAAAACAGTGGATTAGCTAGATTCGTTTCAAGCAATAAAAACGAGAACTTGATTGCTAGTGCATCAATCTTTTGAGCAAGGAGGAGGAGAACAGGTTCGTCAAAGGTGGCAAAGCTATGTAAAGCTGGTTGACTGCCTATAAAGGATGAAGAGATGTCGTGAGAACCGCAATTCGTGCAAAATCCCCCTCCGCCCCAATTCTGACCTGAGGCTATGGGGACAAACGAATGGCTTGACTATGGCGGTAGTATGGCAACGGCCATACTATAATAAAGGATAATAAAAGGATACTTCGCCGTTAATCAATCCCTTTGTGGGATGCGGCACGCATTCTACTTCCATTCAGAATCGTAGTGGCTTATTGAATGCGATGTGGCCTATACAATGACTTGCGGGGGCCAGCCGATGTACAAGTCAATATTCTTATCCTCCCAGACAAATATGGTGCCAACTACCGTCCCCGGGGTAGAAGGCTTGGACGGAGTCGAACCGGGATTTGAACCCAGACCGCGCGAGTGGAAAGCGTGTCACTTACAATAATCCTTAAAGTTTCGTGTCAAGCAAGGCACTACCTGCTACGCTACGATGAAGTGACTGGTGATGAATAATTGGCTCTTCTTATTATCAACAGCTCAACACCCTCGACTGAGATCCAAGCTTTTGATAAAATTTTCAATAATATGTTTGAGTCTTTGAAAACGGATCCTCAAACTATCCGCAAAGAGCGGCAGTTAGGATCCAAGTGGATTTTTTTTTCTCGTAGCGCGTTCATGGCAGGGCACGAACAGACAAGCAGGATAATGAGGAGCTTTGTTCCTACGGTCCGCATACGTGCGCAACAGCTAACTCCCACAGTTTGCCGTCAAGGGCAACATCTAAAGTCCTGTTTCGTTGCGAGTGGATGAAGGAGATGGGTATGACGTGTCGCTTTTCGTATTTCTCTTTCGAAAAGCCACAAGACTCTACAATATCGTTCGTATCAGGCCTTTTCCACCAGTTGTTGTCGCTTACCAGCATCAGCAAGATGTGGAGAACGGGCTGGCGGCGCACCGAACCCGGCTTCCCTGACACCCCCCATCATCCGCAGCGAACAAGCCTGTAGGGAGTCAGGAGAATTCAGGAAGACGGTTTTTTTCGTGAGGGAAGGCGTCGTATCAGAGGAAGAGTTTTTTTGTTTTTTTTTTGGGCGAAGGGGGGATGTGTGTAGTTATGTTCTGCAAAAACTTTCCCGAAGTGGGAGAACTGAATCGATTCTACATCACCGAGATAGTGCTTGTAGTCTTCCAACAAAATGACGGTTCCTTGAATATTCCGGGGAATAGTTAATATCAGAAAAGGAAGAATATTTATTGGGTAAGAAGCGCAGGCAAAATTCCCTGTCGTAAAGATTTTGAAAACGTAGTAAGTACTGCAAAGCAGTCTCTGCATGTGCTTATTTTTCAGCGGCGCAAGTTGACTAGCGATCAGCGAAAGGCTGCTTATTCCAAGAAAAATGGGCTCAGATTAACAAGTTTTAAGCAATTGGTAGTGTTCAATTCGGTCTTAATGTCTGAAGTCCCCTCAAAGAACACCCTCTTAGTTGAACAAGCCGAACACCAGTTTGAAAGAGGGGCGCAACGCACATCAGCGATCCCGTACCTCGATTGCCGTAAGAGGCCAAGATAAGGACGAAGTACAACATTTTAGTGCTCTAGCCACGCACTTTCAAGTGGCCAAAGTGGTGCGTCGGACTTGCGGACCTGCACGCAATTCACGATCGGGAGTCGACATAAGTTCTCTTCAATTGGGTCTGATAGAGAGTGCGCGGCATTCCAAGGTAGGAAACAGTTTGATAACGCTGCGTACGCTAAGAGCTAGCAGGTGAAGAATTCGGGCCCTCTGGGAAGATGGAGGCTATGTAGCCACCTTCCCTAAAGGATGGTGACTCTTATGGCGCCACATCGAGCTGCAGCATGCGCGATATCGATGCCCACACTCCCGCCCGCCCAGAAAATCCGACCTATGCTGATGCTCATATCGCTCCATTTCACGATGTCAAGGGAGAAGTCGTCCGAAGTTGCTTTCTGAGTCGCGTAGAGCAAAGACTTTGCAGGCTTTTGACTGTCTCACTTCGCTTGTTCGCCATTTTCCCACTATACAGCGCGGCGCCACCCTTTCAGACCGAGCACCAAACTGTCGTGCCTTATGTCTATGAGGTACGACAAAGCCGCTAAAGACGCTAACCCTCACGCCCAAGAATATTGTGGTTCTCAAGGCGCCACAAAATCGTTTGGCCTTTTCCAACCAGAAGCACATTTATAGCGTTCTCAAGGCACAATCATGCCGACCGCAGACGCCACCCGGATTACCTCGCCCACAAAAAAAAAATCGCCGTACAGTCAGATCGACGCCGATACTCTTATCGCTTCACCCATGAAGTACAATTGATATGAAGCGTTGCTGCATAGATATAGGAACACATACGTGCAGCGCTATCTACTAAAGCGGTTGTTGGGGCGATGCCAGCGGGAAACTCGGTCAAAAATGCTTTCTGCATACACGTCCAATGCCGTACAGAACGGTTTTTCCCGCAGATTTTCAGCCTTTCAACTTCGCTTTTTTCGTTCAGTTTCCTACTAACAAGCACACTGTTATTATTTGAAAGCAAAATATCGTGCCATACGCCTGTGAGGCAGTGAATCTCTTCTGCGCAAAAGATGCTGGAACCTGAGCTTGAAATCGGGCTAAGCCTTAGTGACCGCGATGCTTTTGCTTTCCTGAAAACATGCCACAGCACGACATCATGATAAATGAATGGAAGATTGGAACGAAAAAAGGAAAGTTTCAAGGACGAGGCTCTATGTTGCGATGTTCAGTGTCTTAGTTCTTGCTGGCCTTACTTGCTTTTCGCCTTGTGTGTTCTCTTGTTCCAGTAGAAGGTAACAAGAAGTGACTCAGAGCTTTTGTTCAACATCTTGACCAATAGGCGGGAAAAGCGATGTGGGTGTCCCCCTAATTTATACAATCACTTTTCCAACTGCCTTATCTGTGGCGCTGTTTCTTTTGCGCAAAACGCAGCAGATCCTCCTGTTGGCCAAGGATTGTGATTCGGTTTTAGAGCAAGCTCATCTTATTAAATAATGTGAAAGCGAATAGGACAGGAGAGAAAGGAGGAGATTAAGTTGGAGAAAAAAGAGTAAGCAGAAATAGGGTTGTTAGATGACTAGACGTTCGAAGCTTGAAAAACGCTCAGTGGGCAAAAGCCAAAAGGCTAAAACTGGTTCCAGGGCATGCTTCCGTCGCTGGTGGCACCACAGGGAACAAAAAGCGAAGAAGTAGAGTTCTGTCTGGGGGTCTGGGGACGTGATGCCATACGTTTAAGGCTTTCGTTTCAAACAGTTCCAGAAGAATAATCTTGAGTTTTTTGACGAGAAGCTGTTCCTCTATGCGGAGGGGGGGGAGGATGGAAGGGAGGAATTCTGTACAGTCCTGTCCAAAGCAATTTCCAGCACTGTAAACCTAATCTGCTGTAAACCTACGAAATGGCACGAACGAGGTAAGTCAGGAATCGATGAGGAGGAGGGATTATGCGGAGGAATGATGATTTTGGTACAGGTGAAACCCTCTCTGCAAAGAGCGAAAATCACATCTCTTTAATCAGAGTTTGGTTCACACATCCCAGAACGTCGTTCCCTAGGCTTAGGCGATACCGCTCATTTCCACCTCCACCCCCCCCCCCCCCGCGCCCACATCACAATGGTTCCTTAGCACTTTTTTGCACTAAATGCCGTCCACCATAAAAAAATCTGTGAACAAGATAGCATGCAAGTGAAACGTGCACTCTTTCTCAGTATTGAGGAGCCCAAAGGACGAGGTTGCTTAGAAGGTGACAGAAGATTACACAATGCTCCTCTTAGCCGACCCAGCGCAATCTACCCTCTTATTTCCAGAAATGAATAAAAACGAAAAAGCAAGAGAACTGTAAAAGATAACTGTTGCAAGTACCTGAAAACCTTCTCGACCTTTTCGTATTTTGGATGAACGAATCCGATGAGATTCTCGAGACGTGTCATACCGCAAAGCCAATTTATAGAGTGAAAGACGAGCACACCTCCAATGATGGCAAAACTGGCACTCAGATGGGCGGAACCACGGCCGCTACCCCGGAACCAATCCACACCCATGTTTGGCTGTTGCAGCTGATGTTGATGGCTGCAAAGCATTGAGATTATAGTGTAAAGTTGATTGAATTTTTTGGGCCGAGAATAATGTGCAACATTTTGTGAAGAAGCTATGAATAGCCTAAATAGCCAGGATACCTTTTTTAATGACAAGCCTTTGTTGAGCAAGGAGCGATCCATCTTACTGGAACAGGTAGTTTTGGATGTTGCCAACAAAGGGCGGTCGCACCAAGCGCTTCTAGAATCGAACACAAAACCTGTTTGTGTTGGGGAACTGCCACGAGGAGAGATTGAGCACCGGATGGAACCTCTGTGACTCACACGCAGTAGCATGGAAGGCGCTGTTCTAGGGGCTTGTAAGAGAGGGGGTCCACTCCTTTTTTTCAGTCTCACCGATGAGAACGATATGATATGCAGCGTAATCAGGGCACGCCATCGCGTTGCGATCATTTCCAAACAAATACGACCCCCCTAATTCTATCCTCGAATACGACCCCCCCAGCTCCTTATGCTACCTACCACTTTCCTGGATTTTCCCACTTATTACCACTTTTTCCATTTCTTCTCGAAAAATTTCCAGCTTTTCAGCCAAGAATCGAGCGGGGGTGGGGGGGGGGGGAGAAGGTCGTCAGGATTTAACGATCATTTTCAACTGCATAGAGAGATAGTAGTTGTATAGATGTTTGGCAGTCCCTATCTCAACAACGGCCAAATACGACCCCGTTGTGATCATCACAACGATGGCGTGTCCTGAGCGTAATACACTGGTAATGCAAGATTTATACCAAACGTCACGAGGCGCGGTTGATTGCAGTTGAATTCAGCAGGACTTACAGAAAGGTATGACCTATGGCCTCCCTCCCTTCCCCATCGTATGGCTCTTCCAACTTTTCCCTTCTTCCAGCCATATTTTCCGAAAAATTTCACAGTCGAGCGGGGGGGGGAATGGGAAAACATGTGAAATAGGGTAAGAACCACAAAAAGTCTAAAAGTCAACAACCGCAAAAAAATTTCTACAGTGCGGCAGATCTCTCGAAGGCAAATACGACCCCCTCTCCCAACGACGAGCAAATACGCTCCTTCAAAGGAACCCTCCCTACAGTCCAGCGATGTAAAAAGCGCCGGGGAAACAAGAAAAGTCAACTATTAATATGAATTTTCTCAGAGCAAATTTGATCCCCCTCCCTTCAGCCACCAAATACGACACCCCGTGGGGATTCCCAACGTAGGACGTACCCTGTCTATCACAGAGTGGCTCGGAACGTAACGCTGCCGAGGAAGGAAAAGAAGTCTGTATAGATGTCCCCAGCGTCCCCCCCCACCCCCACAGAAAGGCCAAAACGCTCACTGAAAACTGATTGATGTGAGAAACAAATGTGCTAGTGGATAAGAGCTGATAGAGTAGTGAGTTGTTGTTGCGGTAAGGCTTTTAGGAAAGCCGCCTGCATGTCTGCTGTCAGAGTAGATGTCGGTCATCAGCAGGGGGGGGGGAACAGGATGTGAATGGAAAGCGAAGCGGACAATGGCGGGATGCGGAAAAGTAAGAGTAATGCTTCTATCAGAGAAAAAACCCTGCCTGATTATTACTGAAGTTAATCCGGTGGGAGATTAAGTAAACATTAAAGTTGTGATTGTAGGAAAATTAATGTGACACTTTCTTCACATGCACACAATTGCGCACAAAAAGCTGAAAATAAGCTCAGAAAAAGTCTTAAATCGCTTCGCTTGCCGTGGGAGCTATAATCGATGCTGAAGAGTGGTGA